CTCTGCACGCAGGGTACTTAAATACTAGAGCTCATAGGAAATAATAATAAATATAAGCAAAACATGAAAAGATGGCAGCACTATACGTTGACTGAGAATGAACAGTGAAAATGCTATATAGTATCAAGTTGATCAAAAGTTGAGTTTTGAAGAAAAATTCTTACATGCGCAGAAGACCCATTTTTGTAATACCATATCGGCTGAAAGAGTCACCTTTGTCGACAATAACAAACATCGCATTTTAACTATTCCCATTGAGAACAATCTGTATAATACATACACCAGTATTAGAGATTTTACACCAATTATAATAAACAAGTTTTACACATTTCTTATGTATCTCGGGTGTATACTTCAAACTATTGTAACAAATTCCATTTTCATTTTTGTCAAGATCACATAAGTGATGCGATGCTGGGTTTCAATCCTCAAATATAAATATTCAGGGTGATGATCACAGTATAATTTCCTGATATATACTCCTGATTTCTATTTATAGTAGAATGCAAAGATTAGCACCAAGATTTCAGCATTTCAAGATTAGCTTAAAGACTGAGAGCGGGTATAAAAGGCAGATGGAACAGCCCACAACAGCCAAATATGGCAGTTTAAATGTCCAGTTCAAACAAAATGAGAAAATTTTCAAACTTTCTACTATAACAAGATTGTTACCATGAATTCCAAGCTCTTTTTTGTTACAGAGGTTTGTGAAACTATCATGACTATAAATTTCAAATCAAATTCTAAAATGTTTTTTAGTTTTTGTGAAAAAAGACAATTTCCTTTTTGTAAATATGCTCATTAGTATAACTGAAAATTTAAATTTCAACCAATGGTCATCTCTTATCTGTTTAGAAGTAAACAAACATAGCATAAGGCTGTAGCTCTCTTGTAGCAGACCATGTGTTTCTGTATATGCTGGACATTTAAACTGGCCACATAAGCACTGATTGGCTGAACAGGGACAGCTTGATTAATAGCCTCACCCGGGTCCAAATCTCTGGGCCTTTAAACTAATCGCCATCGAATTTTTCAGTAACAGTCATATCCTGGATGTGAATCTGGGGCGTTGGGATACTGAACCGTATCCCAACGGTGGCTGTTCACTCTGTATTCAACGCTAAGTTGAGAGTCCGTGTAAAAACAAGATTTATTTAAGTCACATGGACCAATCAGATTGCAGGGAATTTCACCATTATGGAATTAATAGAGGTTATTTACTGGGATATATCGCCCAAGGTCAATATCATATTTTCCAAGGGATAAAACCCACATTCAATCCCGACCAGAAATAACCAGGATAACGTAACGGAAGCAACGAAAAACGACTACTTTAAAACAAAATTAGAAATTGAAAATTCAAATAAGAATGAGACATTAGCCGCTATTGTCCGATCCAAAACTAAATGGTACGAAAAGGGTGAACAAAATAGCAAATTTTTCCTATCTTTAGAACATCGTAACCATATAAATAAAACTATTCAAAAGCTAAACTGACAATGGTACAATTATTCACGACCCAAAGGAAATCTTAAAAGAAGAAAAACGGTTTTACGAAAATTTATACACTGAAAAATTGAACGATGAAGACCTCTTAAATAACATTGATAATTTTGTACGCGGTTTGAATATTCCAAAGCTAAATGAAAATGAAAAGTTATCTTGTGAAGGTTTACTAACAGTTGAGGAATGCGCTAAATCCCTTAAAAATATGCCAAATGATAAATCGCCTGGCACTGCTGGCTTTACAACAAATTTTTACAAGTTCTTCTGGATTAATGTCAAAGATTTAGTCGTAGACAGTTTAAACTATGCTTTTGAATCTGGAGAGCTATCAATTTCCCAAAAGCAAGGCGTCATCACCTTAATTCCGAAAAAGACAAAATTAGATTATTCCTTAAAAATTGGAGGCCAATCACTCTATTGAACACCGACTATAAAATAGGTACTAAATCAATCGCTAATAGGATACGTAAAACCTTAACATCTATAATTAATGCCGACCAATCTGCTTATGTAACGGATAGATACATAGGGGAAAATATCAGACTTATAGAAGATATATTAGAATTCACTGACCAAGGTAACATCCCTGGCTTACTTCTTCAAATTGATTTCGAAAAAGCCTTTGATTCGGTAAACTGGAATTTTATTGAGAAAGCTCTTACATTATTCAATTTTGGCGGGACGCTAATCAAATGGGTAAAAACCTTTTACAAAAATGCTCAAACATGTATAACAAATAATGGATATCATGAACTCCATAGCATCAACCGAAAGAGCCCTTCAAATTTTAAGAACCTTTTCAAAAGTTTCTGGCCTTAAGCCCAACTTTCAAAAAACAGAAGGTAGATGGTTGGGACAATTTAAAACAAATCCTCCACAAATTGTACCCAAAAGTCTTTTATCGGAAATTAAAATTAACAATGAATCTTTCTACACACTCGGAGTGTGGTTTAGCCATAATATAGACGAACGGAACGATCGTAATTTTCCCCCTAAAATCAAAGCTATAGAAAACTTATTTAAAATATGGGAATGGAGGGATCTCAGCCTAATAGGGAAAAATGTGCTCATTAAAGCTCTAGCCATTTCAAAACTTACTTACTTAGCATCAATCATACTTGTACCAAAGCAAATCATCAATAAAGTTCAAAACATGATTAACAATTTTCTGTGAAACAAAAAACCTCCACTTATCTGTAATTTCACAACTATAGGCAAAATAGAAAACGGTGGGGTCAAAAGTTTACATTTTGAGTCGCAAATAAAAGCATTACAAATTCAATGGGTAAAAAGGTTATTCCAAAGCAAACTTTGCAAATGGAAACAATATTTTTACAGTTTCTTTCCAAATCTACAGCCTGAGGCTATCTTTCAATCTAAATTTCCAGCAGAAACCTTGGCTAGATTACCATCTTTTTACTTCAGTATTATGGAAACCTGGAAATCTTTACATAATAAACAGCCATATAATAAGGAACTGGCCTTAAAGGAGTATATTTGGAACAATGATTTTATAAAAATTAATAATCGAACAGTGAGTTATGCTAATTGGATAAACAAGGGTATTCTTCAAATTAAAGACCTTGTTAACAATAACGAATTTTTGGGGTTTGACGAATTTTCTCTTAAATACAATATCAATACACCCTTCGTTACCTTTTATGGCTTAATCCACGCAATACCACACACATGGAAACAATTAATTAGAAATAATCCAAATGACAAGAAACTTAAAAATGAAGAACTTCAAATTAAAGATCGCACAATCAACGTCAAGGCTATTAAAACTAAAACTATCTATTGGTATCTCATAGAGGATTTATTCAAAGAACCAACTGGTAAGAAATTCCTAACTACAAAATTTAATGTCGCAGAAGAGGAATGGAAACACATTTTCACTTTGCCTTTTAAGACTGTACGTGAACCAAGAATACAATGTCTTCAATACAAACTCATTTTAAATCTAACGCTAAACAATAACTTTTTAACTCAAAAGAAGATCAAAAATTCAAATTTGTGCGATATATGCAATAATAACAAAATCGATGATACCGTACATTTTTATATTGAGTGCCCAAACTCTGCCAAGATTTGGGACGAATTCAAAATTTTCTTCAATGTTGATTTAACAAATAAAGATATTATTATAGGAAAATTAGATGAAGAAAACGAGGATAAAACTAAAGCCATAAATTTTTGTATCTTGTATACAAAAAGTCTAATACATAAATCTAGACTGATTAAAACTAAAATCACCTTTATCCAAATAAAGGAAATCATAACATATAAAATCAAAGATGAACAAAACATTGCAAATCTAAACGATATGCAAGAAACCTTCTATACGACTTGGAGATGGGTTATTGAACTATTAAGCGAATAACTCTGTATTATATTTAAGGTATGGAGTAGATATCATAAAACTGTGGTAACCTATGTTATTAAAGACTATTGTGCAATTGTGATGTAAACATTTGTAAATTATATTGTTTGTAAATCATCTGTACATGGAGATGAGCTGTTGAAAATAGTATCTATTTGTAAAATGTAAAATAATTATTTTATTATATATATAAGGTATGGAGTATATCATAAAACTGTGGTAACGTATATTTTATTGAAGACCATTGTGCTATTGAGATGTAAACATTTGTAAATTATATTGTTTGGAAATCCTCTGTACATGGAGATGAGCTGTTGAAAATAGTATCTATTTGTAAAATGTAAAATAATTATATTATTATATATATAAGGTATGGAGTATATATCATAAAACTGTGGTAACGTATATTTTATTGAAGACCATTGTGCTATTGAGATGTAAACATTTGTAAATTATATTGTTTGGAAATCCTCTGTACATGGAGATGAGCTGTTGAAAATAGTATCTATTTGTAAAATGTAAAATAATTATATTATTATATATATAAGGTATGGAGTATATATCATAAAACTGTGGTAACGTATATTTTATTGAAGACCATTGTGCTATTGAGATGTAAACATTTGTAAATTATTTTGTTTGGAAATCCTCTGTTCATGGAGATGAGCTGTTGGAAATAGTATCTATTTGTAAAATGTAAAATAATTAAATGAGCTTGTGTGTATATTATGTATGATGTATGTGTTAGATCCAATAAAAAAAAGACCAGAAATAACCTATACTGTATATTCCATAATACATCCCTCTAAAATGTTATATTTAGATAATGCAAACATTATTTATAGTTAGTTAGTTAGTTAAAATAGTTTATTAAAGTCACACACATATTATACAATTAAACATTATATTTAATAAATGCACATTGTTTGCGCTCCCTCGGTCAATATCATATTGCCCAAGGTCAATATGATATTTTCCGAGGAATAAAACTCATATTCATTTTATCAATTAGTCAAGGTTAAAAATAACCGGGAAACCAAAAATAGGTTAATACGCTCCAATACGATTTTTGGGGACAATACGATCTTTCATGTAATACGCTCCAATACGATTTTTCCCGGGGACAATACGATTTATTCATGTAATACGATTCAATACGATTTTTATTCCTTCATATTTCCCTAGGAAAACCGTATTATTATTGAATAAAGTATTATATCACTCCGACATTACCTACTCTTATTGATTGAAGGTGTATTGGTTCAAATATACATATTTGCTGTTAACTTGCATCGCATTTAATAAACTTGAATTGTCTTAATAGACTCGACATGTTAGAGTGTGGTGAATATAAGAGTGAATAAAGCAAATGATTTAATCTTCTTCGCGCTCAGTAAATCCTTTTTGCAATTTTGAATATAACCTTAGAATTAAATTCAATGAATTGCCTCGTCGTCGTGTCGATGTTTATGTCACAGGTCTCTATTTAATTCAACAGAACAGCCAATGTGATGATAAGTAGGAACAGGAAATGTGGTCGGCAACCATTGATTTTAGTGCCATTTTCTGAAATACAAACAAAAAACTCTTCATCTGGAAACAAAAGGAAGGATATGGCATACAACAACAGAAACCATTACGAAATATTGTTATTTTACAATATATTTTTAATACTGCATGAATTTAGTTATTTTAAAGATGCTGGGATCACTTTCTATTTTTCCAAACTCGGTAAAGCTACGCAATGATTACTATGGTTACCTAAATCAGTTCTAACTACCTGCTACACCTTAATAGCGACTCTTTTGAGATAAAGGGGGGGATGCGTCCGAAGGCATAAGATGACGTTTCCGTAAGGCGTGCTTGGAAATACATGTGCTAGACCGTGCTAGACAAGTTGGGCCAGCCAACGTGAAACGGTGAGATCGAAAGGAGGGTAATAAAATCTCTGCGAACAACATCTCCAAATTTCATGGGGACCAGAAATCTGATATGACCTGCAGGTCGGTCTACTTGTTTTGAACATGGTGTAATCTTGGAAAATCCCAAACAGTCTTGAGAGACCGCGGAATCATGTTTATTCAGTTGACCATCAGTGACCTTCGAAAGGTCAAAAAAGTTGATTTTTCTAATTGATTTTTTCGATTCTTTAGATATATTTAATCACAAAAACCTACTGAGTTCCAAAAAAGTAAAAGGTCAAAGGTCAAGGTTGTCTAACTAAATCACAATCTTTCACAAGTTTCTCAAATTTATCACTACAAATCAATATTTTTAGATGAAAATCAGAATATCTATTCCTCTAAAGGTTTTACACATAATAGCAATTGATTATCTATTAATATTTCACACCGGTTTTGAGATATTAGAACTCAAATACAGAAAAAATCAAATTTCGAAAATTTTCAAGGCCAAATTTAAACTTGCTCAAAATAGACCACACTTATATCATCTACAAGTTCTCAGGAACTCAATTCTGACCTTAGTCTTGACCTTTGACATTTGATCGACCTTCAGTGACCTACCAAACGAAAAAAATGATTTTTCAAATTGATTTTCTGGATTCAAATTTTGGTCTGTTTAATCATAAAAGAAATACTGAGGTCTAGAAAAGTAAAATTTGCAAGGTCAAAGGTAAAGGTCATCAAACTAAATCACAAACTTTGTTTTCTAAGTTTCTCAAAACTCGAGACTACAAATCAATATTTCTGTATGAAATTCAGGATATTTATTACTCTAAAGGTTCTTCGCATAAATTAGCAAGTAACTATCTATTAAAATTTTGCACCAGTTTTGAGATAATAGAGTTCAAAAACTGAAAAAAGGTCAAATTTTGAGAATTTTCAAGGTCAAATTTCAACTTCCTTCAAATTAAACAGATATTTGTTTAAACATCGTCTACAAGTTGCCTAGATTTCATATATGACCTTGGATTTGAGATTTAAACTTCGACTGGCCTTCTCAAAAAATGCTACGGGGCCTCCGTAAGATTGCTTGCATATTAAGATTATCTTACTATCGAGGTTTAATAAAAAATTGTTGTCAAATCCTTTTTCGGACAAACAATTTGAAACTGATGCACTGCTAATCCTCTCGTTCAACATTTTCTGGTAAATACAAATATTTTGTATATAATTCAAAAAATATCAGGACGAAATCTCCCCATTGAGTCAAATATCGGATTTTTGAATGATGACGTTATTAATCATCTCCGTAACTTTAGAATTAAATACGACTACAATGTACAATACGGAGTTTGGAGAAATGCAATTTAAATCTCCGCATCTTTCTCGTAACTTTCTAAATTCTTAGGAAATCAAATATACATTTGTCACCTGATAATATTTCAAAAACATAATTAGTCATGTTACAAATAAAAGACTACCTGTAGATTGACATTGGCACTTTAAACATTCTCCCAATGTACCTCAGGACTCGATATGAATAGAATATTCTTCATTCTTGACCAGATCATTTTATTTACAAAGACGCTTATATTACATCGATGTCTAATTTGAATAAAAACAAATGAAACCGTTTTACCAGGTGTCGTCACTTTACGTGTCGTCACATCTTGTTGCGCAATGCCGTTGCAATGGTCTGAAGCGCAAAAGCATGCACTTGTTTTATTGCCACTAATACATCCGCTTATACTGGCCATAGTACACCCACGATTGTAAACCTTCTCACCATTCACTAAAATACACGATGATAGCATTTCAGGAGTAACACTACTGACCATAAATTGTAATTTGAGATTAAACTCCCACTGGTACCCCACTCGATTACGCCTGTTTCCGAGACGGACAGTCTCGGTAACAAAATGTCGGAACCTCGAAAATACAATCTGCACTTTTTACCCATTCCGTTAACGTAACAACAGTGAGGTATTTAATCGATGATTCCTTTGTCATCTGGACTATTTGTTCGCAAACATGTACATTTCTTAAACATACTGACACGCGTCTGTGATAAAAAAAAATCGTACGTTCGAGGTTCCGACATTTTATTACGGTAACCGGCGTGTTCGAGTGGATAACCAGTGATTTGCTAGATAATAAACTAAATTAGCTATGCGTATATATCCATTTAAAAAGGCTTCAGACATTTTCTAGACATCTCAGCCACGCCATCATCTTCCAAATTTTCTTTTTTTAAGTTTTGTTTGTACCAGCTGATTGGCAGAAAATCATCGCCACTTGTTATTTTTGACTTTTTGAAATCAATTATAAAAAATACAAATTCATTGACTTTCGGCTTTGGTACATTATTACATTTGACCATTGTTTACCAGTAAATAATACGAATGTAAGTCTTACATGTTGATGTTATCGTCATGCATTTTATATTGTCGCCCTCACAACATGTATCATTCACAACTTGTTCATTCATTTTAGCTAGTTCAGCAGCGGAAAATGAAAAACGTGTGCCTCCTATTCTTCCTTGGCACGTCCCGATTTTTGGACGTAAGCCAAAGTTGTCATCTGTGCAATTAGCATCCATTTTACTGTTGCAGTTGAAACATTTTAAGCAATGCCCTACAACATATGTCGCACTTATACTGTATTAATTTGATTAATTAATTTCTGTTCTCTGATAAGCTTTTATTCAGTGTTCTGCCACAAACAAATCTTTTTTTAATTGTTTTGTAGAATAAATACAAATCGAAGAACGTGGTTTTTTGCATAGAAACACTAACCCACACAAAAAATAAATTGTGTGGATTTCTTAGTGTTTCTATGCAAAATACCACGCTCCGTCACAGCGGACAAATTTTTCTGTACCAGCCAGTGACATTGCCCGATCAAAACATTTTTTACGCAGAGCAATGACGTCGTAACCAATTCGTTAACTAAATCAACACGATTTGGACAAATCAGAGGTGTACGTGAATCTCAATACAGGTTTACATTATAAGCGCACGTCATCTTTGAACTCTGGAGTTAATCCTACCCCCTGCCGTGATAACTTGCTACTTGATAACTACATAATTTTCAGAGAAACTAAAAAAGGCACACACATAAGATGAAACTGACGTAAATATACTGTATGGCAATACAGAAGTTTATATGAAAGCTTATATAACAATACTAAACTCGTCAATAGATTGGTTATAAGTATTGATTATAAGTATTCATCATTTTATTTTCTTATGTTTTTTTTCACAAAACATCAAAAATTATTTGACGCTCGTTCAATTGAAGAAAGAACATGCCTTTGGCCGTGCCTTGACATATTGTAATTGTCTAAGTGATAAGATACTGCAATAAAAACCATATGATTCTCGGAGGCGAAAAGGCAATAATAGGCTAATAGAAATGCTGTTTTACCATATGCAGCGAATGCAACTACTAGTATCAAGGCTAGAATAGTTGACGGCATATTGCTTTGTAGAACAACTTCAACTTGAATGCAGTGGTGGAGGATCAAAGTTGGTTTAACTAAAACAAAACATCATTAGTCAATATTGTACACGTCCATGTCATTTTGCTTGTAAAATACAAAAATGTTTGGCCATCCTATACAGACTGAGCATGTAGAAAATGTTTGGTGTCGATATCATAAGCGCTTGGTGCGGTCACTTTTATTTTCGTCTTTTTGATACTGTACTCGCACTAATATTTGACGCTATTTTATTTCGCGTTTTGTGATTTTGACATTTTTTGCATATGCGTCATTTACGATAGCTGATATATCACATTTCTTATTTTCTATAAAAATCTGCAATTTTGATGGGCCTGTTATGATGGTATATTTTGGAAAATCGGGGAACCGAAATTTAAAACACAATTATGGCGATAATTTTGAATGAAAAATATAATTATATTCTAGGATTTTGTGGGCAGCATTATTGAATCTATATATCATGTCCTTTCGTAGCTTTAGGAAGATCCTAATTAATTGATTAATTAATTAATTAATTAATTAATTCGGAGGAAACCACTTATTAGACATCAGAGGGAATGTTAGTTTAAAACACCAATAGAAATACTAATAATCCATCTTCTCTTCGATATGACTGCTCTTTGAAAGAAACGCAATACGTTAACCAAAGTGTTTACATTTTCGGATTAGAAGGGTTTATTCGTTTTGAAGCGGTGTATGTATTGAACATTTCGTGCGATACAAAAATTGTTTTTTAAATGATTTTCCTAATTTTTTTCGAATTGACTGTCTCATTGCTTCAGTAATCTTGATTGATCAATCGGTCTGTTGGCCTCGGGTGCGGCAGGTCGCGGGTTCGATTTTTGAAGGAATATATCTGTTTTTACTTTTTTGGGGTTGTAGGGCCGTTTGTTATTACGACATAAAAATCAGAACTTTGTTTTTCTTCTAAAATTCCATCTTAAAGCTGTGTTCAAGAAAAATAAGCAATATTTTAAAAATTTGCCATATGGTAATGATAAACTGTTAAATTGTTACTAAGGTAACACACAGAGTTCATGATGTTCGAGGTAATATAAAGTTAAGAGCCCCGTATGCGTTTAGATTTACGGTGTATGTCCTCTATAATGAATAAAAATTAGAATGTAAATGTTAACCTTTTTGACCCCTTGTGATGACAGGTATTTTTCGACCCGAAAACCGGAGATTTCTTCATAAAAGTTATGGATTTGCATAATCCAGGACATATGCAACTCCTTAATTAGATACTACAGATTTTTCATATTCCGGAGTCATGTCATGAACTTCATGTACTAATCCCTTTACGGTTTTGTCATTTACTTTACTATCCCAGGCCCGTCAGATGGGGGGGTGCGATGGGTGCGACCGCACCCCCCTTTGACACCCCCCAAAAAAAATTTAAAAATTAAAAAAAAAAATTTTGAAAAATATTTTTTTGTAATTATTTTTCATCATCTCATACACTTTTAGAGTGCCCAGAAAGCATCAAATAGCATCTTAAAATTGTAAAATTTTCTAGAGGGAGTGGGTCACCGCTCACACCCCCTCAATACAATGGAAAATTTATACAATGAATTTATTTTATGTATTGTCTCAGACACTTTTAAAGTGCCCAAGTGCCCAGACTTCATAACATAGCTCCTTGATATAGTCAATGTTTCTGGTGGGGGACAAACACTTGCTCCCCTTCGGGATCCCCACCCCACCCCACCTCCCCCTCTGGCACCCTCGGCCCTCGCCCCCTGGACACCCCTCCAAAAAATTGAAAAAAATGTGATTTTCTCAAATTTTTAATTGACTCATACACTTTGAAAGTGCCCAGAGAGCACTAAATAGCGTTTTAAAATTGTAAAACTTTCTAGGGGGAGTCGGCCCCCCCTCACACCCAAAGCAAAATTGAAAAGTTCTGAATTTATTTTATGCATCATCTCAGACACATGTAAAGTGCCCAGACATCATCAAATAGCACCTTGATATAGTCAATGATTCTGGGAGACTAACACTTTCTCGCCCTCTTGCATCCCCACCCCACCTCCCCCTCTGGCACCCCCTCCCCCTTTGACAACCCCCAAAATATTGTGATTTTTTCAAATTTTTTATTGAGTCATACACTTCGAAAGTGTTCAGAAAGCACCAAATAGCATCTTAAAATTGTAAAATTTTCCAGGGAAGTAGGCCACCCCTCACATCCCCCACAAAAAATTCTGAATTTATTTCATGCATTGTCTCAGACACTTTTAAAGTGCCCAGACTTCATCAAATAGCACCTTGATATGGTCAATGTTTCTGGGGACAGATATTGGGGAAAAACATTTGCTGGCCCTCTGGCACCCTAACCTCACCTCCCCCTCTGGCATCCCCCCTCTGGCATCCCCCCTCTGGCATCCCCCCTCTGGCATCCCCCTTTGACACCCCTAAAAATTGAAAAAATGTAATTGTTTTTTCAATTTTTTTTCGATTGACTCATACACTTTAAAAGTGCCCAGAAGCACCAAATATCATCTTAAAATTGTAAAATTTTCTAGGAGAGTTGACCACCCCTCACATCCCCCACAAAACAATTGAAAAAATTCTGAATTTCATGTATTGTCTCAGACATTTTTAAAGTGCCCAGACATCATCAAATGGCACCTTGATATGGTCACTGTTTCTTGGGAACAACCCCTTAATGCTCCCCCTCTAACACTCCACCCCACTTCACCCTTTCATTCTCTTTTTTATCGACGACTCATTCACTTTAAAAGTGCCCAGAAAGCACCAAATGGCATCTCAAAAGTGTAACATTTTCTAAGGGGAGTGGGTCACTCCTCACAAGTTTGGAAGTTGCATTTGTTAATTTTAAACGCTTTAATTTTAAATTTAAAGTGCCTAGAAGTCACCAAGTGACATAATGAAATCATAAAAACATAAAAATTTCTGGCAGCCAACCCCAAAAACAAAAGCATTCATTTACTCAAACACATTAAAAGTGCTCAGAATTAACCAGACAGCATCTTGAATTTGTTAAATTTTCCTTGCTGCCCCCCTAAGAAGAAAATGATTGAAAAAATCTGAATTTCTTATAAATAGATTCTGTTTCAATTAAAACACCTTGAAAGGATCCAGAAATCACTGAATGTGATCTTGAACTGGTAAAAGTTCTCGGGCATTTATGCCCTTCTAGTACACCCTCCCCCTGTTCCAGTATTTCTCCAAGTTGCTCATACAATATTTAGTCTAAAAACAATACGAAAACAATAAAATACTACAAAATATAGGGAGTAACCGACCCCCCCCCCCCCCTTTGACTTACGCAATTTGATTTACGCGGCAAAAAATTGACAATTTTATTTTCTCTTTAGTTAAAACCGCACCCCCCTTGGAGAAAAGTGTCTTACGGGCCTGTATCCTATTTTACTATATGCATATGACCTATCACTAATGTCCTGTACAATATTCTAGTAATGAAATGATAACTATCTCTAATGATATATATCTGGTAATAAAAGAAAAGCATATTTTCAGTGTGGTAACAAGCTAAATACTTACATGTTTGTACGTGTGTGTGTTGTGCAAATGCAACTGCGATGCATTTAACATGCGTTCATGTTTGTCACAATTGAATTATTTCTTTGACATCTATAGTTGTATACTGATGAAAATGATATTAGATTTTTATGTTTTCAAAAGGTATGATAAATTACCAACAAGGAAGCAAATAGTGAAATATTTTACTTGCGTCAAATTCTGATTGGTTAAATTTAAGTTAAAGTTAGTGTCCGTTAAATTTAGTAAGGCACAATGAAAAGCAATGAAAGGAAGAGGTTTTGTGTTTCAATTCATCGTTTTATTATATGCACAGTATGACCTAAAGCTGCAAAGTGAACTGCATAATGTAACACAGTAGAGCTTCTTCTCCATTCATGTTGTTTAAATTTTGATTATAACAGGGAGTTAACAAATCTCAAATATCAGGTCCATTTCGAGGTCGAAATTTTTGCAAAAGTAACTGTTGCGTTGCGCTTGATTTTAAGTACCAAAGTAATATACATAGTCGAAAGTATTATACTCCGAAATATCGCATGCACTACTATCTTATTTTCTGAGATATACCTTGATATATTAAGGGAGGTAAAACTGTAAATTTTGCTGGATAAACCTCCGTTACTTATGATATTATTTGATCTAATCAATATTATAAAACTTGTAATAACTTACTCGTTCTCAAAATGAAAGGTACTGACTGTTTTACATGGAAAATGTCGTTGTTTGAGTAACAGCATATTTTTACAGGCTTGCTTTGGTGTTTTTCAATTACCCGCCGTGTCAGACTTTATCTCTGACGTCAGTTATACGCGATATATGTTATTTATGTGCTATTTTCGTACTTTCATTTATTTACTGCAAAAGAAAATTTAAGCTACGTTCATTCTGTTTGCACACAGTGTAAACCAGTGCCGTAACGTTATGTAAAACACAGTGACACGTAGATTTGTGTGATAGCTATTTTTGCCAACTCGTTCATTAGCATTATTTATTCCGTCTACGTGGCCAACGTATCCAAGCAGTTCAATAACGTCCTTAATCAGTTTAAACCCGTTGATATGTAGTTCTACCTAGTTTCGATTGCAGTACGACCGGCTCATCTCAAGTACGTTGTCACTCGTTCTGATTGCAGAAACGTCACCAGAAAATGTTGATCATGCTCTGGGGTCTGGAGGACCTACCCGTTCGAGTACGTTCTAACACCGTAAGCCGTTTAGCGTTCGACGCTAAACGGCTCTTACGTTCAACCGGTTCGTTCATAGTTTAATGTAACTCCGTTTTCGAGAATGTATTGAGAATTAGTTTGGTAAAATTTTCAAAAATTATTCCTTTTCACCTTTTTTGAATTAAAAAAAATATTGTGGAATTTTAAGGATCACGAGAATATGTTTTCTTTGATATTTTCTATGAAATCCCATCCAATGGTCAAGGTAAAATTTTGATTTTGATTTTGATTTGGTCACGTGTTCGAAAGATCCATATAAGGCCCATAGAACCATATAGGAACGTCATTTTGAATGTCACGTGATAGATCCATATAAGGCTTTTAGAACCATTTATGGAAAGATGAGGGAAGCCCCTGACACCTGTTTCACGATTTTTATGCACTTCATTATTGTACCGAAGTTTGCCGATTCGATTCGTCGTATTTCGGAATCCTGGTGACAATTTTATACTCCATTGGAGTATTTTTGACCTACTTCTTATGACGGAAATTCCCGAACCTTGTTCGGATTAATCCGGATTTTCTGACCTACCTTATCTACCGAGTTTTCACGAGTTAACATTCGTCTCATTCCGGAATCCTGGTGACAATTTTATACTCCATTGGAGTATTTTTGATCTACTTTTTCTGGATTTTGCCCTACTTATTATATCTTGACAACAAGCAAATCAAAAAGTTCGACATGAACGGGTCTCGATCAACTAACCTAGACTATGGAAGCCAGGCACGCTAACCATGAGACCAACGAGCTACCGATATGAAAGAACAAAAGTATTATATATTTATACCGAGCGTCAATTCAAAATGATCCTCACTTTTGTCTCCACTTAAATACGACTCGTCAGTTGTATCCAGAATAGTAGAACGCCTATGGCGCTAGTGAATAACCAAGTCCCAGGTGAGTGGTTCGTATCCCTCCGTGATATACTATTTTTGTTTTATTAAATACGAAAGAAAGGAGCAAGGTGTAGGTTGAAAACAAGGCGTTAGTTTGTTTCAAAACAGTTTGGAAACATTAATCTCTGGAACATTATTTTTTCAACACTGATACAAATTTCCCTGACATTTCCCTGACATGTCTACCGTTTCAAAATTCCCGGTCATCTTTGGCCCCTTTGACCTAATTTTAAAATTACCTGACATTTCCAGCACTTGGAAAATCAAGTCAATTTCCCTGACATTTCCAGGTGTGTATGAACCCTGGAAATATCCCACTGGCTCGCCCTATGAATCGCTAGCACAGATTGGATTGATTAGTGTTTCAAAATGGTGGACGAAGTGTTTGATTAGATAATTTACATATTAAGCTTCTTAAAGGGGCAACAAGGCCTGTACATAGAAAATTCGAAATTTTTTACATTTTCTGAATTTTTAGGGCAACATTTGGCTTTAACATCTTTTTTTATACATTTTTTCTTAAAATGTATAGATAAACAATAAAATTTCAGCATTAAGCATCAAAGCTTCTATAAAGGGAGTCCAACTTATAGATTTTGGAAATCCGACTCGTTTAAAGAAGAATATCAGCAGCTTAAATCACGCCTTGTGATCATACAAAATGGATGGAGGGGGGGGGGGGTAGGCGATTTCTGCAAGAAAACTCAACAAATTTGGAAGATTTATTTTTTTCAAGATAAAATTTACAACTGAATTGCCAAATGAATAGGCGCAGTGCATGGCAAAATATGTAAGGTCTTCTAGTATTTTTTGAACTGATACGCTTCTAAGATATGAGATCTATTATAAGAGGCGCATCATCATCATCATCATCATCAACGTGCAAAAGTCAATGTTTTTGCTATAAATCAGGCAACAATGGTCTACACGACCTGTAATAAATAGGTATGAGGGGCGTTATTAGAGAATTTTCGTTATAAGTTTTTTAAAAACTTATACGTATACTTATACTTATAAACCCAATAAACAAGGTGTTTCATAATTTCCTAATTCGTCGGGAAATATCTCCTAGGACGGTAATAAAAAGGGCCAATGGCATACCATCCGTACCCCCTTGATGTAAAGCATGTTTAGTTGTGTCAAATGTGTTTTCTAGAATCAAATAGGCTGATATAGCACACGGGTTTTACAGATTTATCTACTCTCAAATATATTTTTTGTAGATGATCGTTTTGAACCACCTTGTAGAAATAACGAAGGGAGAATTAGTTCAGCTAATGAATGAGTCGAGCTATTTGATTGGATACTATGCCTATTCAGCCGATTAATTTTAATAAGCCATTCTGGTCAGTAGGTCCACACATATACTATGCGGAGATCCAACTCTGTAAGTTTATAATCTGCGTATAAAGGCCCTTTTATACGTAAAAACTTAAAAATTGACCTTATAATTTCATGAGAACTTTGAAATGATCGACTCGTTCGTGTAGTGATTCACTTTAAAGGGTCTTGTTTATCGTACACTACAAGGACCCGTCAACTAGAATTTAGTTTATCGTGTTCATAATTGACACTAGCAAAGGACATTGTATTCGCAGTCCCTAGTTGATGATGAAGCTTGACTATATCGGGAATAGTTATGCCCCACTTGGTACAGATTATGAAAATCAATTTGAATTGATTTTAGTTCGACAAGACCCTTTAAACTATAAGTATACGTATAAGTTTTTGAAACAACTTATAACGAAAATTCTCTATTATCACAACACTGACATTGCTCACTTTTTAAAGTTGTTTCAAAGCGTTATATGTAAATGGGCGTGTGGAAGGCCCGTGGGTGGCAATAAAATAACTCGAACTTCAAATTAAAATATATATAAAATAGTATATTTCAAACTTCAATGTTTAAAATACAATGCTCTGTAATGTACAACATGAACTCTTACAGCAACTACTGACAAGCCAACACCCAATGCAAACTCAGCTACATGTGAGTGAGAAAGACCATATAGGGGATCGGGAACAATAGATATATAAAACTGACACAGTTTGCATAGTTGAATAACTCAAGGTGAAAAGTGAACATGGTATTAAAAGAGTAAAACTGCAAACAACCTACTTAGGGACCTGTTATATTGAGATGAATAGGGATTGATTAATATGAACAGTAATAATATAAAATGTGAAAATGACCATGTTACATATACAAAAAATAACCCCATTGTTACAAAATCACAAAAAGTGAAATATCTATTCTTGTATTGCACTTTCGTTCACTGGACATATTTTAATTGCATTGCTATTAGATACATTTTAAGGGTGATATGAAAATTGAACCACGAAAACAGATGTACTTTAAGTTAAAGGGAACTTTCTACCATACCCGCCATGCTATATGACCCGAACGAGCCACCTTGTGGTGAGATTGGTAACTACCTGCTCGCATCTGCGTTATTACGCAGAGACATAAACGTATACACAAGGAAACGATAGGAGATAACCTATTTTATCTCTGTATACATTTTAACTTTAATACATCGTTGAATCGAATTTGTCCAAAGGTCTTGAAACGTAAAATACCTAAATATTTATCTTAGACCTTGGGATGACCTTGTACAAGAAACATTAATGTTGACCTCGGTTCATCTAATCATAATTCGCCAAGGGCCATAGTATCATCAAACGCCAAATACCTAGACATTGATCGTTTACTTGGATTTAAATAAGGAGTATGATTTTAAAATTGGCTAGGTCGTGGTTAAGCAACAATAGTATGTTCGAAATACCGCTGTGTAATGCCTGGATCACATTTGCTGCGAGTATTTTGTTCAAAATTGAATACATTTCTGAACACAATACTCAATCGGCCGGGCGCCGTAGTGAAAATCGGAGCAAATGTGACCAAGACATAAAACAATTGAATAATACTGTATCAGTTTCACATTTACAGCGGTCAAAAGCATTTACAAAAAAACCGCCAAAGTTGGCAATCATATAAAATGAAACCAATCCCGCTGTGATTCATAGAAATAACTAATTTACTGAATTGAGTTCAATGTTATAACCATGTCGATTTACATGAGTGTCCGATTCATTGTACCAAAGGATCTTGTACACCTGCCATTATGATCTCCCCATGAACAAAATGAATCATTTTTAGGTGTAATATAAAGAATAAAATGTTACATAATACTTTGGAAAATATTTAAGCGTTTGGCCCCACATGGGCTGAGGTTGGGGTCATTAAGTTCAGCAAGGGTGTATTGACTTGACATTGGATGTGTTCTATTGACTTAACATGTGGATACCATCAGATTCCAATGGAGGCCATTGGTTTCTATTGATTTTCACAAAAATACCTAAAATACACTATGACCTGAATCGATTGCAAATTAAATAATTTCACAATATGACACAAATGGTATTTCAGATCAGATGTGCAAATATAAAGTTTGCAATCGATTCAGGTCATACTTCAAATTAAAAGATTATTCATTTTTTTCATCATTTTTTTCCTACAAAATGGCTATAGAAAAATGCTTCAAAAGCAACTTTTACACTTATGAAATCCCATACAACTTTGTAAATCAAAAGATTATACTGTTATGATTCATTAATTAATAACACATTTTGATAAGATGTAGGGATGTGTAGGATGCAAATGGATTTTGACAGACACAAAAAGACTTCCTGGTTTGGCATCTCTACCCCTGTACACTTTATGATTGAATATTGCCCTAAAAAGTGGCCCATTCATCAATACAGTGCTGAATATAGGTCAACAAGATACTAGTGTACATATAAATGTAATAATAAAAGCAGTATATTTATTTTGAAAAATCAGATGAATTTATTTTTGTTCATGGGGAGATCATAATGGCAGGTGTACAAGATCCTTTAAACCTTGACTGTTCTCCAGAAAGCAATTAGCTGACATATATCATATTTTACATTTTAATACAACTGAAAAGATAATAAATGTTTTAATATAAAGTTGACGTAGTTATAAATCTTTTCAGCGTAAAATCAAAGCACAACCATATAATTAAAAACATTACGCTGGGATTCCAACTGGATACAACTGACGAGTTGTATTTAGGTGGCCTAAAGTGCTGCTTATTTTTTCGTGAAGCCACTCAGTAAAATTACGATTTCTCTCAACCCTGATGTTCAATCAACATCATTCGAGTATCTATATGTTCCTGACACGTTCGGGCATCCGGTTATGACAACGTCTACCCAATGTTTGCACGAGAAATTGACGTAATTCATGACTGAAATCGGGAAGACAAATATATGTGATATTCTTTCAGAATTGTTTATAATAACTATTTACAAAAACGTTCCCGAGACACAATCCATTTAGGTAGGGTTTGTTTTAAAGTCGAAAAGCCCCAATAAGACAATACAAACCCAGATTAAACCCAGAAGAATGCAGATTTCATGTAATGATTTACGTTCATGTAAACAAGGAAAGTACATATAATCCCCATATAAAACACTGGCCTACGTGACATGTAAACACAGGTTCAAATTGAAATATAGAAAATTTTCAACATAGCATTTGCTTCTGTGTTCTGTATGCCCCTCTACCTGCTAATAAGGCAATGTATCTTCAAATAAAACCTTAGCCAAGTAGATAAGGGTCTCTGGAACACTTTTGTAAATAGTTTTCACAAGCAATTTTATTCCCGGACGCCAAAACGTGTCAGGAACACATATATATTTGAATGATCTTGATTGGACATCAGGTTGCAGAGAAATCGTATTTTTACTGAGTGGATTATTGAATTTCATAGATCTAGAGGCCCTTCAGGAGTGGAAAACCTTAAATTATCAGAGATTAATGTTTCCAAACTGTTTTGAAACAAACTAACGTCTTGTTTTCAACCCACACCTTGCTCCTTTCTGTCGTATTTAATAAAACAAAAATAGTATATCACGGAGGGATACGAACCACTCACCTGGGACTTGGTTATTCACTAGCGCCATAGGCGTTCTACTATTCTGGATACAACTGACGAGTCGTATTTAAGTGGAGACAAAAGTGAGGATCATTTTGAATTGACGCTCGGTATAAATATATAATACTTTTGTTCTTTCATATCGGTAGCTCGTTGGTCTCATGGTTAGCGTGCCTGGCTTCCATAGTCTAGGTTAGTTGATCGAGACCCGTTCATGTCGAACTTTTTGATTTGCTTGTTGTCAAGATATAATAAGTAGGGCAAAATCCAGAAAAAGTAGATCAAAAATACTCCTATGGAGTATAAAATTGTCACCAGGATTCCGGAATGAGACGAATGTTAACTCGTGAAATCTCGGTAGATAAGGTAGGTCAGAAAATCCGGATTAATCCGAACAAGGTTCGGGAATTTCCGTCATAAGAAGTAGGTCAAAAATACTCCAATGGAGTATAAAATTGTCACCAGGATTCCGAAATACGACGAATCGAATCGGCAAACTTCGGTACAATAATGAAGTGCATAAAAATCGTGAAACAGGTGTCAGGGGCTTCCCCTCATCTTTCCATAAATGGTTCTAAAAGCCTTATATGGATCTATCATGTGACATTCAAAATGACGTTCCTATATGGTTCTATGGGCCTTATATGTATCTTTCGAACACGTGACCAAATCAAAATCAAAATCAAAATTTTACCTTGACCATTGGATGGGATTTCATAGAAAATATCAAAGAAAACATATTCTCGTGATCCTTAAATCACTTAAATTCGATCATTTTATTTTCACCCCTTGATGGAATTTTATGAAAGAAGTTATGAAAACACATCATCATGTAAGGGTTTTCACCTAAATTAGCTCGTTTTATCTTGACCCTTCAATTGAATTTCATTGAAAAATGTTTCATGAAAAATATCATGTTATGATTTGTATTTAAATAAGACCGTTTCATTTAAATACTTGCTGGATAATATTTCATAAAAAAATGCACTTTAAAAATATTTCAGGATTTGCCTTAATTTATCAATGTAATGTAAGTATTAGATTGACTCTCAAATAGGGTTCTATTTTAACTTTTTTATTGAAATTAATACTAGGCAGGACTCACTCTCTAAATAGCTAATAAAAATTCAACCCTTGGATGTGATTTCGTTGAAAAAAAAATATGACAAGTCCAGAATCAAATGATTTGTCCAGAACCTCTTAAGATCCTGTTAAATACACTAATTATATAGCACTAGTCTAGTCAACATTCAAAATGGCAGCAATAATCATGTGCTAATATTTCTTTTATTTAAATTCATTGTTGCAGTGACCCATACCATGCGTTAAGCGGTAAACACCAATTACTCGTCTGAAAATAAAGATTAGATCAATTACATTTAGTGGTTCAAAAATATACTATTACACTATTGTACAAAACATGATTCTAGTATATAACTGACTATCTCATAATTGGTTTTGGTATAAAACCAGCGAATTGTCTGTATAATCAGCTTACTTTCTCGCTCCCTGTACTATTGAACAACTTACATTCCTTACACCTTGTATTGATCAACTTAATAGTCGATGCTCAAAAGCTACCTGGTTAAAAGCCAAGAATCTCGCGCATGCGCGATCGGGGTAGGGCAGTGTGAACAATATAGGGTCATAATTTTGTCCGCTTTGGTTGAAGTCTTTATAGCTCAGTAGGTAGAGCATCAATCTTTGGATCTTAGGATCCTGGTTTCGATTCCCAAGTGGGGCGTTGAATTAAGAAAACTTTTCTCCGATTTTTTTATCTTGTAACATAATCACGGGGACTATCCAAGACCCATTGACATCGCGAGCAATGAGCTCATGTTGGAAGCTGGGCCTTGAGAGACATGATAACATTGAAATATAATATAGTAATAGTCATAGAACAATGGATATTTTAATTGAAGGGCAACGACGTTCTTCAACTATAACTATATTTTATCACATCTCTCAAGACCCCGCTTCTAGCATGAGCTCATTGCTCGCAATGTCAGGGGGAACTTGCTTGTGATAAATGGGGCCTGGATAGTCACCGTGATTATATTCGTGTGTTAATCATTCGCCCGGGGCGCCCTCTGATTATCACAATAACACATTGGTTTGTTTAAATATCTTCATCTTGTTTTTGAAGCAAATGAGAATAAAAAAATTTGTAAATAAATTATAATTATGGATCAATACTGTTTAGAAAAGTGTTTGAACCACAAGAGGAATGTTCAATCAAAAAATCTGTATGGAATCTTTAGCAGAGTGCAATTAGAATTAAAATGTCATTATTTGTTACATACATGTAGCTCCTTGAATCCATCAGAAATGTGCATTGTGCTTAACTAAAAACTTATTTTTCAAAGATATGGTATTGTTAACTCGGGATGCCAAAAGCTAAACACAAAATGGAAATTGAATATCTCTCATATGCTATGTCATCTTTCAACCATCGTTTAACCATCCTTTACGGTACACATCAATATACACCTTTCACCTTTTACCTTTCACTGTTGTCTTCATGCAGACTACATCGTCGCCCTCACAACATGTATCTAACGATGGCATATACATTTGTTCTTGAACAGCAGAGGTTAATATAGTTGCTGGGTCCAGTATTCTCCCGCTGCATGTTCCCGCCTTTGGACGTAAGCCAAAGTTGTCTTTACCACAGTTTGCATCCGTTAGGCTGTTGCAGTTGTAACATTTTAAACAATAGCCTACAAAATATATCACACTTCTGAACGACAATATTGTGTTTTGTTTGTTCGCTTATCTCGAGTTGTATTATTATTTTTGTGCTGTTCTTGCTATTCCCAGATATGTTTTATTTTGTTAAGATAGTACTATTAAGATCATAATTAGTATCCCGGACGGGTTGAATTAAGCAGTCGGGGGTTTACTCTATATTTCTAATAGAACAACCATTCTTATTCAAATTTTCATGTTTTATTCTGGAGACAATTTCCAAAATGGAAAAAAATATTTTAACGAAATTCCTAATTCTTTGATTTTAATAGGCTTTTTTCAAAAAGACGCCACTGTCAATAAAATACAGGTTTTTGCTTGAACAATTGAACTTTTAGCGTATTCTCAAAGATTGTCAAGCTATTGAATTTTTGGTCGCCCAAAGTCTTTTACATTCTCAACTAACCCCCCCTTAGGTCTGTGATATGTCATTTATACCTTAGGCCCAAGGTCAGATGTCATTGATGAGACCTTAGGCCAAAGGTCATGCAAATCACGAAACGGAATATTGACGAGACCTTAGGCCTAAGGTCGAGTGTATAGGAACACCGTTCATTGATAAGACCTTAGGCCTAAGGTCTTGTAAATCACGAAACGTTATATCGACGAGACCTTCGCCCCAAGGTCGAGTGTAATAGGGAACCATGTATTAATGATACCTTGGGCCTAAGGTCAGCTAACAATATTTGATATATCAAAGACACCTTATGCCTAAGGTCAGTTTTATAAGGAACCATTCATTAGTGAGACCTTAGGCCTAAGGTCATGTAAACCAAGAAACAGTATATCAATGGTACCTTAGGCCTTAGGTCAGACATATGAGTATACCATTAGTTTTTAAGACCTTACGCCTAATATACTATTAGGTCTGTTATATAAGAAAAGCAGGGAATTAGGAATCAGAGCAGATTTTTTCTCCTCACAGAACTAGTGTTAAATTGACATTATCCTAAAAAGGGTGTTTCAACTTAATTTTGTTCTCGATACTTGCAAAAATAAATAAATAAAGCAAGTAAATGCCTTATATCATAGCGATAGCTCCGGATGTTACATATACTTTTTAATACTGCATTGTTACTATTGTCACTCCATATTTCCAATGGTCTAATGGTTAAATACAACACTATAATAATATATTAACCCAAAATAGTCATATGGGTAGTACAGGCTAATTTAAGAAACTTAGCGTTTTCGTAGTCTAAATCTGTAGTCTCATAGAAATGCTGTTTTACCCTGTGCAACAAATGCAGCTCCTAATATCAAGGACAGAATGGTTGACTGCATGTTTCGCTGTTGAATGACTTCAACTTGCTTGCGTCCCGTGGTCGAACAATCCGATGTAGGATAAGCTTGATGTCTAAAAAGACAATAGTTGATTAAAGCCCCCGATAAATCGGGCTACGTATACCGCCGTGTTTACATTAGGGGATTAGAAGAGTTTATTATTTACTTAGGTATGCAAGCAATATCAATATTAGGCCTTCATGCATGTACTCGTGTGTACAATCAGCATGCCCTTTAATATTATATAAGCCAGGCTATTCAAGTACAACATAATGTACACTATTTATGTGTGTACTATATGGGAATACGATTCCCTGGGAAACAAAACACAAATACTTTTTATATGTTCAAAATGAGCCATTTGATCGATGCATACACTTAATACCCTCATATATAAACATCTACAAAGTATATCTAATAGCCATTTTCAATTCCAATGGTGAAACTTGCCTGGTTACGATTATACGAGAAATTAACACGAGACGATAGTTTACACCTTCCTGGCTTACCTCTGAAGCCTGTACGGGTTAACCCAACCAATTGTTATAACATGCGTATTCCCATACAAACGATCTGTCTTCCAGAGAAAACTAAGATTTGTGGACATGTTTTGCTATCATGCCATCATACCCCAGTATGTCCTCTGTCAGTCAAAAAAGTTTGAATCAAAACTCCCCACGAAAATCAAAAGATCTCACCTGTTGAAGACGCCATCTATAGAAAATGTCAAAAAATGTCATTCTGATTTTGACAGATGGAGGCAGGTCAAAAAGGTCAAATTTTTTAAAGAAAATGCACCTTAATCACATCAAATCATGTCTTAGAGTTGGTCCATACATACACTTTTTCATTCATGTACTTACCAAAATCCAACCACTGGCCATGCTAATGTAATTACAATAATTGGACTATATTTTTGTTTTTATAATGCCATCTATTCGTCTTCCCACTCGGCGGAAGGATCTAATGGTAGTGTGTCTCCTAGTAGTGACCCATCCTTTAAGTTACAATTTTAATTTCCTCTAAAATGTGTTCCCCAGTAATTTCCTTACAAAATAATACAAACCGCAAGCAGATTCGACTATTTTTTCCAGATATATGATTGATTGAGCTTACCTACCTCCTTTCTGCAACAATGTGTTTTCCTATGATCTTGACTGCAATGAGACCCTATGACTGGATGTATTGGAAGGTGTCTAGATTGAGCTGGGGGAGTACTAAAGAGCTGAATGAGGTATTTCTGGAAAGCAAATTTTGCCTAGAGTCAATTTTTGTAATTAAAAATACTAAAAATCAATTGCCTTAATTTATGCGCATATTTAATTAGCACAGGGTAGATTTTTTTCTAAAAAGTGCTTACTCGACATTTTTACGAGAAATTGCATGGACAAATATGACATTTGACATCACCAAATGATAGAACAGTTCATTTGCTATTAATTACATATGCTAATTGTAATCATTAATTGCTAGGATGTGTTTACAGAGACATCTTTAAAAGGAAGGTTACACTAAAATTGTAATTTTCTCCGAATATTGTCATTCTACCCTTTGGATATTTATCAAATTCATCAAAGTAAACAGAACAATTCATGGATGCATTATAGATCTTCCAGTAGATAAGTGATCTGAGTGTACATTAGATCATTTAAAAGATAAGAATATGCATAATCAGGTATTAGCACAAACTTAACTAGATTGTCAGTAAGTCAACTTGAAGCAACAGTGAACAGCTAAAATATATACAAATCAAGAAATAACTCTGCTTTTTCATTTCTAGGTCTGCTCTTACCATGGCCAAGGGGAGGGGCATTCGTGGAAAGTTCAAATACATCAATAAAGGCAGTTTCCAAAAGAATCATGAGAAGGTAGAACCATTCAGCAGTAGTAAGGAGCTCAGAGATAACCTACCACCAAGGAAGATACATAGACTTTCTAAGGATATGCATGATCTTGTTTTAAAGCAGTTTGGAGAAGCATATGTACAGCCTGACATTCATGGCAACAATGGGTCTTCAATGGTTCTGAGACCTAAACCAGCTGAACCAGAGCCTCATGAAAAATATACAATTAGAGATCATCCTAATTCTATTCCAGATGAGAACATCATTGTAAGTCAGAATCTTTTATTAGTTATGATGAATTCAGTTTTCACAGCACATTCTAGCCATAAGCCAGAGAGGAAATGTATGGGGGACCTTACCTTTAACAATAAGATACCCTTTGGCTTGTGTTGGAAAGTAGCATTTCAATGTGAAAAATGTAACTTCATATCTCCCTTATATCAATTGTATGAAGAAGTTGAATCTGAGGGTAAAAAAGGTCGTAAAGCGGCAAAGTTAAATACTCAGGTAGCAGTTGCTCTACAAGAGGTCCCAATAGGTATAGAAGGATTCAGAAAAATTTTGGCCACATGTAACATTAAACCCTCTTCATCATGGGGTATGCATAAGATGAGTTCTAATGTCAGTAAAGTCACGCAAGAAATCTGTGATAAAGATTTAGAAAAAAGATGTAAGCAAATCATTGATATCAATAAAATGCGCGGAGTAAATGATGACCAACAGAATCAAGTGTCAATATCAACCGATGCCATGTATGACAGTAATGTTTTAGGAGACAGGTCCAAAATGGGGCAGCATGCCACAAGGGCAGTTAGCATTGCAACTGAAAATAATACATCAAAAATGCAGATCTTGTCATATAGCTTCAAGAACAAATCTTGTTGGAGAGGGGCTGCCTTAAGATCTCAGGGTTTCCCGGTAAAGTGTCCAGGTCATGAAAACTGCTCTGCCAACATGAATCGCGCGCACGCATTTACAGAATATGACATGGGTCATGAAATCGCATCGAAATTAGACAAGGCAGAATTAAATGTAGGGTATATAACAACAGATGGTGATGCAAAAGGTTCTAAGGGAGTGCAGGATTATTATAAGAGTAAAAGAAATCACAGGGTAAAAAGATTGTCTGATAGAATTCATAAAGAGCAATTGCAATACACAAAAGGAGTCAATACTCAGTTCAGCAGGAATATGTTTGAGGGGACCATAAAGGAATGTGGGAAGCTCCAAAAAGCATTCATGAAGGATGTCAAATATAGATGCAGCACTATTACCAGAAATTTGGCTAAAAAACACCATGATCTGACTCTGGCTGCTTCAACATTTACTCTCATCCATATATGTAAGAGCATTATTCACTGCTATGATGGCCGCCATGACATTTGTAAGAAAAAATTCAATGGCTGTGAAGGGAAAGCAGGTAATAATTGGTTAAAAAGATCAATTTTTCTGAAGGCTTGTGGCTTGAATGAGACAAATATCAACATGACTGATGAAGATAAAGACAAACTTCGTGAGATTGTAGAATTACGCCTCGGACCAGATGCCATTGAACAGACTAGATACAATACACACACCAACAAGTGTGAGTCAGTAAATGCTGTTATCAACAAGACTCTCCCAAAACGCAATGTTTATTCTGCAACTGCATATGGACGGCTTACATCAGCCATATTGCAAGTCAATCATGGTCTGGGCAATAGCACTCATCTAAAATTGAAATCTCTTAGAGCAAGCCTACCCAAAGGATCTTCTGCCAGTATCGCAATCCACAAAATGCAGAGAAGAGCTATGTATTTTAAAAAATACAAAACCAGGAGATATGTTAGGTCAAATAGAGCATTTCATAAAGCTTATCATCTCAATGAGTATTTCAGGGCAGCAGATGAGAAAAAACAAATTGATTACATGAAATATCAGTTGGATCGAAGACCGATTCTGAAGGGCGACCACAATTATGCTGCCCCACCCCCCCGCTTCTCCCCTAGACGGGCTGACCACACCTATGCATTGAGGAAAGTAGGTAAATAGATGGTATACATACCTTTAATAATTTAGGTGTAAGATACATTCTGGGTAGGGATCATGACCGATACAATTCCCCATATTTACACAAATCAATCTTGTGTTATTGATAGTATGGGGCTCAAGTGTCAAATGGTCAGGATTTATACAGCACCTATTGTGACATAGATGCGAGATGTCACCATCTAGACCTATTTTCTCAGGGTAAGCAACAAGGTACGACACTCTGTGTGCACAGGTATTGGAAAATTTGGAAGATCCTGGCCATTTGACACTCAAGCGCCCATAGCCATCTTTCCTGACCCCCCCTCCCCAGAATGTACATTGTCCATTTGGGCTTGGCAGGCTCTGGGCCAATAATTTAGCCTTGTATTGGGTCACCCAAGCTTCTAATGCTTTGAAATAGAATAGGAACACATTGAGAGAGCTAAATCAGTGAAAATTCCAATGAAAACCAGAGAATTAATTGAAAAATATGACCAAAGTTAAAAAAATTGAATTTCAGAATGGGCGATAATAGGGTTAACCCAACCAATTGTTATAACATGCGTATTCCCATACAAACGATCTGTCTTCCAGAGAAAACTAAGATTTGTGGACATGTTTTGCTATCATGCCATCATACCCCAGTATGTCCTCTGTCAGTCAAAAAAGTTTGAATCAAAACTCCCCACGAAAATCAAAAGATCTCACCTGTTGAAGACGCCATCTATAGAAAATGTCAAAAAATGTCATTCTGATTTTGACAGATGGAGGCAGGTCAAAAAGGTCAAATTTTTTAAAGAAAATGCACCTTAATCACATCAAATCATGTCTTAGAGTTGGTCCATACATACACTTTTTCATTCATGTACTTACCAAAATCCAACCACTGGCCATGCTAATGTAATTACAATAATTGGACTATATTTTTGTTTTTATAATGCCATCTATTCGTCTTCCCACTCGGCGGAAGGATCTAATGGTAGTGTGTCTCCTACCCTGTAATCTCTTTATATAGGTTAGCGAGAGCGCTGCGCCTGCGCAGTTTTAAATTTTGGCGCACACTTTAACATTGTACACGATCGGGGCATATGATGTTTAATTAAGTTATATGGCATTTGTCCAGTAGTTTGAGTTAATGCGAAACAGTGTACGACCCTTGTATGTGTATGTGAATGAAAATTAATCATGAAAGGCAAGCCATGATCTGTCCGCATTAGACAATTTAAGTTTCACATATAATAATACGAGTTTTCCGTCATAAAGTTCAAGGATGGTGCAAGGCCTTATATATGAAGTGGATCATATTCATGAAGTGATTCATGTTCACATGAAAAAAACATTTTGGTTTGGTTACATGAATACTTTCATGGATGTTTTATGAACGCAAATGAAATATTGTTGCAAACTGAATAAACCTAGGATATATATTTGACATCATAAAGGGATAGAAAAGACAACATGCTTATTTTGTGATCTATTTTTCTCGTTCTAGCTTTAGATGATGTTAGTAATGAATAGTTTTGTTATTGCCTTTTTATTGCTCATATATACAGGGCGTACAAAAACGCAACAAGTAGTTATCTCTTAAAATCACAAAACTAGCGATGACTGCATCAATTTCATTCAATATACCATAAAGCCCGTCCCTCCACTTTGCAATAGCATGTCATTCATTCAAATGTGGTCATGGTTGGGTTAGAAATCCTTCCATTTGCACAGTGGGTCAAAATCGGCTCTGGGCCAAGTTTCGATAGAGCAAACTCAGACGTCTCCTGACTTGAATTGTTGTGAATTTTTCTTTTGGGGCTATCCCAAGAGCATCTGTGCACACAATTCCTCCACCAGATATTGCAAAACTTCGAGAAAGAATTGCTCATGGGCTGCTTTCTCTGCTTCGGCCAGCCATCACTCTCTGTGAATGAATGACATTCCATTGCAAAGAGGAGTAATTTGGTTTTTTTTGGCACATTGAATGAAAAGAATTCAGTCGTCATTGGTTTTATGTTTTCTTTCAATATTGCATTGCACCCCGTACACTGACTTTTGCGATGTTTATAAATTGGTCCGAAGCTAATTGTTGTCCAGTTTGCAAAAGAATGATTACTCGCCCAAACATGACCCAATATCAACGAATGATATATCATTGTAAAGAGGAGACATGTATGTTGATATAACGAGCAAGTTCAAGAAAGCAATTTGAGCGAAAGTATCATAAATATAGATGTAGTCTAAATTATTGTTTGTTATTACTGTCCGAGTAAACATTTATAACAAATAAAAACCAAAGTTTTGAGTGTTAATCAGTGTCGTATCTACTTCAGATAATATATTGAAATTTTTTTTAAAATAAGCACCAAATACATACAAATATCGATTAAAACGAACGTAATTTTGAATCAAGCATACGTAATATATTTAAAAATATATAAGTCAAGCAATGCATTTTAATAATATGAAAACAAGCTAGATACTTACATTGTTCGTAAAGCTCTTGTTGGCAAATGTAACTGCGTAGTATTTGGAATACGTGCATGTGTTCTAAAAGTGCGCGGTTTAATGTATGTAAACCATACCCTGCGTGCAGAGTCTAGTTAAACTACAATGCCCTTATTTGTGAACGTGAGCACGGGGATGATCTCTGCAGCAGTTAAATCTATGAATTATATTCAAGGGAGTTTATTGGTGACGGTGTCGGGACTATTTTATGTTGTAGTGACGGTAAGTTGTATTGTTTATGTAAAGTGGCGAGGAAACAAAAAGCAATGATCAAACCTTTAGCTGGTTTTTCGTTCGGCATAATACTACCTAAAATACATCGGAACCACATTAAAACATTTTTAATAAATAATAAACGACTTACTAACTATTTAAGTCCTCATGTAGGAATAAAAATGTGTTTTTAATTTACTATTTGTCATGACTTCTTTTCAAATAACTTTTTTAAATCATCAATTTGTCTACTATACAAATGGAGAAAATAATATAAATATTCCACTTCACACGTACAGAGCAAAAACATTATCTGTTTAACACCAATGTAAAGATTGAACATAGGACACACTTTTTCAACAATAAAATGTCATATTTAATATGCAACTTCAATAATTTAGCATATCAAAAATATGTTGCAACCTAATTGACCTCATCGTGACATCACCCAGGTAAAAGAAGTATTTGAAAAAATGATAAAAGATGTCCATGTCAATCGTTTCTAAATATGCTGAACTTCAAATATAAACTAATGTTCATTGTCTGACAAAAAGGAAGAATGTATTCTGTTTTAAATATCATTGTACCCTTGGTTTATATGAGATTTAAGATTCTGAAATGCATTTTTCTCCGAACCGTTTTCATACATTAATGAGTTCATTTCTTTTTTTATTTCATTAAAACAATACAAAATGTAACAAATGTTTGGCCATGACACCTATATGGGTACTTATTTATTAAAGGGCAATAAGGACTGTAGAGAAAATAGGAAAGTTTTTTCATTTTTTCTGAGCTATCAAGGCAACATTTGGCTTTGGTTTAACATCTTCTTTGACATACCTATTTTCTTAAAATGTATGGATAAATTATCAATTTCAGCATCAAGAAGTGTAAATTCAGTTCAAAGCTTCAAAAAGGGGACTTTCACTTTTATATTTTTAAGATCCACCATGTTTCAAGAGGAATATCAGCTAAATAATGTTTATCTAGGGGGTTTCTTTGTAGATAATAAAAATAGATGTTAGTTGATGAAATATCCACACTTAAATATATTTTGACACTGGTCCATGATCGTTGAATGACCCCTCTGCACTAATTAGTGCACCTTTAACTAATTTTCTCATTTTTTCGGCAAAAAAATATGTGAGAATGAAAGCTATGCATTGATGTGAATTATCGCTTACTCAAGGGTACGTTTGACCTCTAAAAGGTTCTTCAAAAACAACTTTTTGGAATTAAAAAACAGTTTCACATATCACACTTTGATAACATTTGGTAAGGGTGCAATATAAACCAAAGTGGTTTAAACTTCATATGGGGGCTTTTACGATTGAATTTACGGGGACTTTTTTATGAAGATTCTAAATCTAAATGTATCGTCCGTTGTGGTATGTTGCAGATGAGAACAACATTACAGTATACATAAGCAATGATTAATGGATCCTATTTTGATACGTCGTAACATCGGAAGCTTACGACGTTATACAAGTATTTTCGGCTGGAGATTTGTAAGTACTCATTTATTTCGACGTTTTGACAGAATGTGGTTCTTTCCCTTTCGTAGACACATTGACCATACCATGCATATATACCTCTTGTATCACTGCGTCCCAACATTTCGTCTGAACACGGTCTATAACTTCTCAAACCTTCTAGAAAGCGCGACAAATTTTGGAAAGAAATGATCAATTTTTCACAAAAATGATCATAGTTTCTATAATGCTAACCCTATCATCTTGAAATATTGATTAGATAAACAATGCAATTTTTATACATCATCCAGACACTTCGGTTTCCTTAACCAATAAAAGAACTCCGACAAATTAATTTTTCTTTGAAGATTTACAGCGTTAACCATGACTTTGTTTCTTTATATTGTCTTGATCTTACCTCACTAATCACATATTTAATAAGATATACGTTGATTTAACATTAAACGTACTTATGAGATTATGGTAATATAAATTTATTTTCTTTGAGTTGGGTCAGTATTAGGGTTTCCAGGCCATGGAGGCTAAAATTGTCCCTCGGAGCAAAACGAAAAAAAAGAATAAATTTGAGAGGCTTTACTTCTCCCCAAAGAGAATTTTGGTGAAAGCTCAGGGATGCAATGCCTGTGATGCACTGAAATTCTGAACGCCAGGCATTTGTGAATCTGTTAACGTAAAAAAGTCTTGCCAAGAGCATGCACATGAAATTAAACATGAAAAACGTCATCATATTCCCTAGATAAATCATTTAAAACCTACATCACATTTTTTGTTGCAAACAGTTAAAGTGTACATCCGTACATCTTGTCACTGTACGTTGTCGATAGTTAGGCCTGACAATAAGAGAATAATAATATAGTATTATAAACTGGCTGGAGATCACATGAGTGCATTGATTATGAAGAGGGTGTTTCAAAATTAGAACACGAATGGCTACATTTTGGAAACACATATACTCAAATCATTCAGTTTGAGCAGTGTTTGATTCAAGGAAACGGATAATTTCTGTAAGTTTGTGCTCTTTTATGGCCTTGAGCTATTTATTTTGCTGACTTAATTATTCTGGGTGTTTAAAACGTAAAATTTATTAGAGATTTACTCGTAACTGGACCTTTGAAAAGAACGGGCCAAATTAGAGATATATAAATTTCTAGTATTCCCTTAAATGTGGACCAAATTAATGCAACTTTGAGAAAATTTCAGTAAATTCAGCAAATTTTAAGCAAATTTAGCAAAATTTAAGCAAAATCCAAGCAAGTTTTGCAAAATTCAAGCAAATTTGGCAACATCTAAGGAAAATTAGCGAATTTGGCATACACTTAGCAAAAAGTAAATTTGCTTCCGCAAAAATTTGACGAAAAAATGTAAGTAGTAGCCTGGCCAGAACAAGTCATGCCTCTCTATTTTCTCAATAACTTTCTCAATTTTGAATATTTTTTCATGAACGTTTCATGGAATAAACTTTAAAGAATTCCTAACATACAATTTTTTCGATAAAATTTTAGCCTTGAAAATGAATTACAATATGCTCCTCAAAATAGGAGCTCTTCAAACTCTAAGGTTCAAAAATCAGAAAAGTCGTATGCTAAATTTTGAAAATTCACAGAGATGGTTTTTACAAAAAATTCAAAGGACAATCCATCAAGACAGTATTATAATACCAAGCAAACATCACAAAATACTTATGCATACCTTAGAGAAGACAGCAGACAGTATTTCACACCAAGAACAAGACAATCTGTATATTAGGACAAAACGTAATTTAGATTTTTTGTATCTTTTTAGAAAAAATGGCGACAGAAATGACCCATCAACAGAATATGACAATATTTTTTAAAAGGTTGTAACAATAAAATTAATGAGGCATTTACCATATGAAAAAATTTGTATGTTAGGAATTCTTTAAAGTTTATACTGTGAAAATTTCATGAAAAAATATTCAAAATTGAGAAAGTAATTGAGAAAATAGAGAGGCATGACTTGTTCTGGCCAGGCTACTATTTTGTTTGTTTGTTTTTACAAAAGTTGCATAAATTAATGACTGTTTATAAATGTATGTATAGATAGAATGAAAATTCTTTCATTAATTTGGGAAACTGGATGTCTGTATAATATATAAAAATTGTATTGTTATTATTATCAATAATGCAAGATGATAGGGCTAATATTGTAGAAACTATGATGGTTTTTGTGAAAAATTATCATTTTTCAAGAAATTGTCGTGCTTTCTAGAAGGTTTGATAAGTTTTAGACCGTATTCACAACATGTTGAGACGTTGTGATACTAGAGGCATGGTATGGTCAATGTTTCCACGAAAGGGAAAGGACCATATTCTGTCAAAACGTCGAAATAAATGAGTACTTACAAATCTCCCGCCGAAAATATTGAATATACGTCGTAAGCTTCTGGTGTTACGACGTATAAGAGAATGGGGTGTGAAGTTAAGTCGTAAAAAATAAAAATAAAGAGAGTACGTGAAGTACTTTCGTGAGGGCAAACGTTTTTTTAGTTATTTAGAATGTGCTTTGAGCTGGGACATGTGACAGATGATTATACCACAGTTTGTATTGTTGTTTCATTCATATAACTTTATCAAAGTGCACATGGTATGATAATTTGAATCTTGCAAGTAATGACGAGAATAAAGAACCTGAAAATAAGAGAAACAATTCTACCACAAATTCTACCAATACAAAATATGACATGGGTATATCCTTCGAAAATCTCGAAACCATCTCGGCATAAATTAAATAAATTAATGAACTTTTTCTCATGAATTACCAATTGGAACCTTACAAGACCGTTTATCATTTCAAGCGCCATTGACAAATGTTTCGAATGTACATGCTGTCATACCAAACCAAACTTCCCTTGGTATTATCAGTTATCACACGTTTCAGCATGTGATACAGGAAATATTCCACGAAAGGTAATACTGTATCATCCACGAAAGCGAAGCTTGAGTGGTGATACATTGTTACCCGAGTGGAATATTTCATGTATCACATAAGCTGAAACGTGTGATGACGATTTTATCACATCTTTAGGAATTTTGATTTGGTCAGTTATGATTATTTTCAGTACTCTGTACTCTTGGTAACTATTATAATTTTTGATTTCGCTTTGAAACAAAATGACGTTATACCGTTGTATTCGTACTTTTTTGTGAAATAGTATGACGTCATATTGTTTTCCTTAGCTTGAAGTGATAAAATCACTGTGACGTCACATCGTTGCTATTGACTCCGTAGTGATACAGCTCACCGTATCACATGAAAATTAGTCACGTGTCATGTGATAGGGAATATACATCATCACAATTGACCAATCAAAATGCGTAGACACTCCTAATCATGTGATAAAGTGTGATCTTGAGAGGTCTTTTATTTCATTCTCAAGAATTGGTAGAAAGGCACAAAAACAAAAATTGTCAACAAAACAATGATATAGAATATATATAAAGAAAAACAATATAGAACTCAATTCAACATATCGATACCAATCCTTCAATGAATTCCAATTTTTTAAAAAACGTAACCATCCTATGAATTTCCCATGAGTGTATCACATAATCTTTGATGATATGATAGAGTTTTAAACTCTTATTATAATGTAAAATAAAATATATGTCAGTTGAACGATGTTGGTTTAGTTAAAAGGTTTTAAGTTTATAGTTGGTTGCCTTAACAGCCTTTGATCACTCGCCACAAACGTGTTTGAATAACGGTTGTCACGTGATTGTCGATATTGTCACCACTTTTTTTTATGATAGCACCACATTTCCAAAGATGAAATGAAATTTATATGTTTTTTTAATTGATTCATTCCATTTTATATTAGCATAATGCATATACAGGGTGTAGCACCGTATTACAGTACAGTATCACATCCATAAGTACAACAACATTTAATCTGTTTAAGTTCCAAAGTTATGACCATTTTTTGGATTAAATTAAAAACTAAAACAAAGTTTAGTATAGAAAATTTTGGTTTATTTCTGTTAGTTCTTCATTTTCATTTAAAATGATATGATTAAATTAAACCGAACACCAGACAACAACCGCCGTTCACAAGAAGTTAGAGACTTAAACAATATATCACCACTTCTGGTGGTGGCATAAAAAATGAAATTCAAGATGTTTAATGTACATACAACTGGTCTGATGTAGATTGCATGTTTTTTGCTTACAATAGCAATAAAATCCAATAAATGTACCATTTATTCAACCTTGATGTCATGTATGGCATGATTTTAACCATGGAATTTTTTTCCTTATAAAAATCGAAACTGTAAAAAGCAGTAAATGAGATGCAGCATTTTCCGCACTTAAATATTTTTTGAATAGATACATTTAGATGATAAGAGTATTATTCTCAGATTGTTCAAATACCAACCAGCAAGATGATGTTGTTGAACACTAAATTCAACTCTAAGACAATATTTAACAGTCCATTCTAGTATACATTTCTGAATAGTTATATTCATAGTTTGGATAGGATTTCACCATTCATGCCTCCCGATGTCCTTCTTTAAATGAGCAGAACGACCAAGACGACGGTCAGTAGGATCAAGAAATGTGGTCGAACACCGACGATACCGTTGCAGTAATCTGATTTACAGTAACACAGCTCATGTTTGTATTCACCGATCGTAGTACTCGTACATCCTTCGTTCTGATTGGCCTCGAAGCAATCACGCGCGATTTGAGTAATATCACCGACTGAAATGCACACAAAAACAGCTCAAGCATCAGTCATGTGGTTATAAGAATTAAGGTAGCATGATCCGTGAATTCAACTGCAGGTCGCCGGCTGCTGACGACCAACTCGATTAAATATGAATCGAATAGTGGCCGATACTTTTCCCATTTAAATGAGTTGACCATAAAAAAAGTCCGTCGACTGAAAACAGGCAGTTGAATTTTCGAATGCTACCTAGGAAAGGCCGCATACAAAAATGGAGGATGTTTTAACATTTACCTAGTAATGTTGTTGCTAAGATCGTAATTGATCCTCATGGCTGTTTATTATTTAATATCGCAAACTGAATAGTACAAAAATTTAAGAAACATCATCTAGAACAGGATCTTAAGAGGTTCTGGACAAATCATTTGATTCTGGACTTGACATATTTTTTTTCCAACGAAATCACATCCAAGGGTTGAATTTTTATTGGATATTTAGAGAGCGAGTCCTGTATTGATTTCAATAAAAAGGTTAAAATAGAACTCTATTTGAGAGTTAATCTTATACTTTCATTACATTGATAAATTAAGGCAAATTCTGAAAAATTTTAAAGTGCATTTTTTATGAAATATTATCCAAGTATTTAGATGAAACGGTCTTATTTAAATACAAATCATAACATGATGATATTTTTTCATAAAATATTTCTTCAAGAAATTCAATTGAAGGCTCAAGATAAAACGAGCTAATTTAGGTGAAAACCCTTACATGATGATGTGTTTTCATGACTTCTTTCATAAAATTCCATCAAGGGGTGAAAATAAAATGATCGAATTTAAGTGATTTAAGGATCACGAGGATAGGTTTTCTTTGATATTTTCTATGAAATCCCACCCAGTGGTCAAGGTAAAATTTTTATTTGGTATATTTGGTCACGTGTTCGAACCCATAGAACCATATAGGAACGTCATTTTGAATGTTACGTGATAAATCCATATAAGGCTTTTAGAACAATGTGGGGAAAGATGAGGGGAAACCCCTGACACCTGTTCACGATTTTATCCGAACGTTCATCGGATCATTTCGGTTTTTATGCACTTCATTATTTTACCGAAGTTTGCCGATTCGATTCGTCGTATTTCGGAATATTGGGGACAATTTTATACTCCACTGGGAGTATTTTTAATCTACTTCTTATTACGAAGATTCCCGAACCTTGTTCGGATTAATCCGGATTTTCTGACCTACTTCATCTACCGAGATTTAACGAGTTTACATTCGGCTCATTTCGGAATCCTGGTGACAATTTTATACTCCATTGGAGTATTTTTGATCTACTTCTTATGACGAAGATTTCCGAACCTTGTTCGGATTAATCCGGATTTTCTGACCTACTTCATCTACCGAGATTTAACGAGTTTACATTCGTCTCATTTCGGAATCCTGGTGACAATTTTATACTCCATTGGAGTATTTTTGATCTACTTTTTCTGGATTTTGCCCTACTTATTATATCTTTACAACAAGCAAATCAAAAAATTCGCCATGAAGGGGTCTCGATCGACTAACCTAGAGCATGGAAGCTAGGCACGTTAGCCATGAGGCTAACGTGCAACCGATACGAAAGGATAAAAGTATTATATATTTATACCGAGCGTCAATTCAAAATGATCTTCACTTTTGACTGCACGTAAATACAACTCGTCAGTTGTATCCAGAATAGATGAACGCCTATGGTACTAGTGAATAACCAAGTCCCAGGCGAGTGGTTCGCACCCCACCGTGATATGTTATTTTTGCTTTTTTAATACGACAGAAAGGAGCAAGGTCACTGGCATGTAGCGGTCCTGATATCGATACATTCTACACGCAATAAAACCAGATACCTGCGTGTGATTAAAACTACATGTTAGAGCGTCGATATCCTACAAATCCTATTTTTTCATAAAAATATTTTTTCATGAAATCCAATCGAAGGGTGAAGATAAAACGATCTTTTAGGTAAAACAGCTTTACATGATCTGGTGATGTGTTTTCATAACTTTTTTCATAAAAGACCATTCTCGGTTTGGAGAACAAAGTTCGTCACTCTAATTGAGCGTTATCCCTGCTTCGGACAAATTTGATTTTTTTACATAATATAGATTTGAATGTCTTCTTTTGAATAGTCATAGTTTAATTTGGGTAATATTTCTAGATTTTTCATATAAAAATTACTAGTGAAACACCCAACGTCGCTTTTATGATTCGTACCACTTTTTTAACTTGGTGTATTGCATATTTCCGTGGGTTGATTTGAAAAAAAGACAAACAACGTATATATGAATATGTCATAAGCATATAGTGAGATAATTGTTAGATTAGGTTTGCTATAAGTGACTTTAAAACAAAAAAATAAAAAACATTAGTTCACGTGTTAAAGTCCCATTGACCACGACATCAAGGAAAATTGAGCTTTTTGTCATCAGACATCTTTATAGATGGAACTAGCTATGTACTACATTTTTAAATACACTCACATTGTACATGTAGCTGTAATATCTAAGATGTTATTTTTATTGATGAAAAGATTCTTACATACTAAAGTTACATTAAAATATCAATTGCAATAGCCACCTGTTTTTAACATCCCTTTGTCACTCATCCCTTAATTATCTCTGTGTATCTTAAACGTGTGTGTGTTCGATGTTGATAGCACCCGAGTGCAACCTAAGGAGCACATACAATACATTTTGTGTATGCCCAGTCTGGCCGCCTTATATCTGCCTGCACCGAGAAATGGGCGCAGCTTTGACAATTAACGAATGATATAACGATATCACGGATTTCACCGAATGTTATTCATCCCTAAATAGCTTTTTTATTTAGTCTTATGATCCGACTGATGTTTCAATTTTTTGCAGTGACTCTGAAATTGCTGCGCCAGATATGACATCACAGCGACTCATTTTCCTACATTTAAATCACTAAACTAAATCAATTGAAACATAATCATTAAAGAATGAGGACCTTGTATTTTACTTTGGACGAGGGTAGTGGCCATGTCTTGGCATGGCTAGTTGTGCATTAACGTTTGATACTGTTGTGCGGATAAAAATATTTTACTTTGGACGAGGGTAGTGGCCATGTCTTGGCATGGCTAGTTGTGCATTAACGTTTGATACTGTTGTGCGGATAAAAATAATGAATATATGTTAAAGTAGCACTAAACAGATACTTTTAAAGTTAAAAGAATATAGTTACATTTAAAGAATGGGCCCAACGAATATATATTGAATATAGGACTCGTTTGATGAAACGTTCGTTCTTTTAATTCTAATAAACCTAGAAATCAATCAACGATTAAGTAAATTGACAAGACTTCATGTTCAAGTTGGCTGAATTTCGTGTAACTTAACTCTGTTATGTTTCTAGATTTTACATATGGAGAACAGAATTCGAAATCATAATCACAATCGTATTTTAAGGCAAATAGGCCATGAATATGCTTTTAGTTACACGGTGGATGATCAAATTAACACATTTTGGATGTTGAATTTCATTTCAAGTTCATTCGAATTTACGCATTATCGTGGGAAAGCCCATGGCATTATCCAATAAAATTGATATATATACTGTCTAGGCTGAGACTAACATATATAATGTTATTTAATGTATTTAATATACAGGATATATCTGAGAAAGTTATGCAATATATCTACACGAGAAATAGTAGGGACCGAGGGTTGATATATTACCTTTACCTGTCGAAAATCGAGTATAAACTATGAGGATTAGATACGCATTGAATGTAATGGAACCGTCATGTAATAATTAGAAATGATAATCACAATCAAATCATGAATATTTTATCTAGATTTAAAGTGCTTAAGATTTATTTTTAAAACTCAACCGAACTATTAACATTTAAAAGCACCGAACGAATTTTCTGGGGATTGCTGATGAGCGGGTGGGATGGGATGGGAGGGATAAAATGAAATACTAGATAAAATATTGATACCTTTACGCTTGTCAATCTCAAATTAGAATGCATATATCATTATCTCTTTTATTCTTCTGTATTGTAATACGATAGTCTGATTATTGTCAATATCCTATACATGAAATAATGTACAACGTGTATTCTACATTGAATAACAAACGAAATAAAACTCATCTTTGTACGAATTTATTTTTCATATGACACAAAGTAACATAACATTGTTATATGTTGCATTTACGACTACTACAGCAAATCAGAAAATTCGTACAATATCAAACGTAAGAGTTGTTCACAAATACATTGGTATTTTGATATGAGTATCATGTAGTATTAAAATATTAAAATCATATGATCAGCAAGTTTATAAGCTTAATATTGTATTGTTTTTTATTTAAGTGTCGCATGCTTAATTTCATACATATACATCTGTACAATCATCCAAAAAGCCTCGAGCCACCAATGGCTTATGAGACACTGCTAATCAAAATAAATCATATAATATTATATAATAAGATGCATAATATGAGTCAGTTGCAGAAATAGGATTATGAATAAAGCAAAGTTCATGACCTCTATTACGAACATTGTTTGATGAACTCGATCACTCAGTCAGTTGTTGAACATATGCAAATGTGGTCAGGTTATAAATATAAGTACAATTTAAGTCCATGATATTTTCACATATTGAACATAACACTCAGTTCACAAAGAGATGTATACAAATCTAATCCACAAGTAGAAATGATTGTTTCATGCTGTTTATGCATTGTGTATAAACTGTAATCCAAAACATGAATAAAGTGGGCAAGAGGTGGTTGTATGATGGCCCATAAAATCACATTATGTAACACCGGCACCCTGGTTCAATATAGTGCAGTGGCCCATGTTTGATATACGTACATCAAAACTCATGTTTTTTCAAGGAAAGAAGCTAGATTAGTGATATATTGAAAAATCAAACTACTATACCCCAATACTGTAGCCCGTATTTCTTTAAAAGGAATACAGGCTACAGTGAAGTTGCAAATGGAGGACCTTTGTTTATTTCCATAG